CGTCTAGAAGAGAACACAGCAAACTGGAAATGGGTTGTTTAGGAGGAGAACCAGATGTACGCAGGGACACGGGTAAAAGGTAAAACCTATTAAATTTTGACAGGAATGTGTTAAATTATAAATTTTAAGTGAGATAGTAAGACTTGCACAGTATGACACACGATTTGCTTATAAATACACAAGACTTTTAAGCACTTCATGTGAGAAACTGACAAAACTGGACACGTGTGGAAGGGAATTTAGCAGATGGGGAACAGCAGTTAAGAGTGACTTTTCAGCCAGGGGTGGTGGTGCACACCTGTAATCAAAGCACTCGGGAGGCTGAGGCAGGATGAGACCAGCGGGGGCTACAAAGTGAGCTCAAGTTCAGCCTGTACTACACAGCCAGACCCTGTCTAAAAGACAAACAAAACAACAAAAAAAAGAAGAGTGACTTTTCCCTGTAAATCCTTTCATGCCCTTTGCACTTTTGTGTGTGTGTGTGTGTGTGTGTGTGTGTGTGTGTGTGTGTGTTTGAGACAGGGTCTCTCTATGCAGTTCAGGCTGGCCTAGAGCTCAATTTGTAGCCCAGGCTGGTCTCGAACTCGCAACGATCCTCCTGCCTCAGCCTCCCGAGCTGGGATTACAGGCATGTTGCCATCATGCCAGCATCACAAAATCCCTTTAAACTATTTTTTTTCTTTTTGATCTGTGGAGCAACCTATGGCCTCACACTAAGAAAGCGATCTGTCAGTGAGCTACACCTCCAGCCCCCTTAGTCAATTTCCTGTTGCTTAGTTGCACTTTTATGCATTCAAGTTTTGAATACACAACGTGCAAGTATTACTTAATAAAAGATTGAGTTTTAAAAAGACTAAGCAGAAACCTAGGAATGAATAGGTTTTATAGAAGTGAATTTCTCAGGTTTTTAATGGTCTATATATGGCTGTGCTTTCTTTAAATTATAACTTTTACAAAAATTAATAAAGAAAAAGAAGTTGTGTGTGTGTGTGTGCGCACAAACGCACAGTGGCGGGAAACCAGTAAAACTTCAGGGTTCGTAAAAAAGGACCTGAAATATTTTAGCTTTTGGATGAGGCGGGGAAAACTCCTCAGCTATGGGAATTATCTAGATAAGACTTCCAAGCAACTCCATACAATAGGCATGAGTGGGACAAACAGGTTCAGGTGGCCTGTCGCTGCCCGGCGGCTTCAGGGGTTTGTGCTTTTTTGGGGACTACCCACGCCTGGCACTTACACGACAGCTTGCAGTGTTTTGGAAACTTGAACTGGTCCATCAATGTGAAATGCAATATGGAGGGTGAGGCCTATTGTTCTCTCAAAGAAGAAGGGCTGCCAATTTAACCAGGAAATTTAGTTCTGTTGCTGAAGACATTTTTTTTTCAAACCCATTTTATTCATAGATAAAAAGAAAAAGAAAAAAACTATAACAAAATTTTAATGTACATCAATCAAGGGTAACAATGGTACATACATTGTGTATTGTCATCCCCAAATCATTCACCCAGAGCACAAGACATCTGCCTTCCATTGTCTGACGCTACCAGCACAAATCTTTCTCTTGCTAAAGATATTTTAACTTTGAGGATTTCAAAAACAGCTTCCCAGGGATATATGATATACAACAAATGTATCGCACATTATGAAAAGGCAGACATTTGATAAATTTTGGTGTGTGAATACAGCCAGCACCACAATCAAGGTCACAAAGCACCCATCACCTCAGAAACTGTGCCCCTTCCCTTCACTAACCCTCCTGACCTCTGCACAGCAACCATGCTTCTGTGCGTCACTACAGACTAGTTTGCATTTTCTAGAATTTTACATGAATGATTCAGATGGTTTGTACCCTGCTTATGTTATATATGCCAAGTTCCCTTTCTGGTTAAAAGCCTTACTGAGATTAGAGGTTTACACGCGGTTGTAGTAACAGCTCTCCTCTACCATTTTCCAGTTTCCCCAATGGTGCCATCTTGCAAAACTGTAATACAGTCTATGGTCCTTGAACTCACTGTGGTGGAGCCCAGGCCGGCCTCAAACTGACAGGAATCCTCCTGCCTCTGTCTCCTGAGTGCTGGGATTACAGGCATGTTGCCATCACGCCAGCATCACAAAATCCATTTAAACTATTTTTTTTCTTTTTGATCTGTGGAGCAACCTATGGCCTCATACTAAGAAAGCGATCTGTCTCCAGCCCCCTTAGTCAATTTTCTGTTGCTTAGTATTCCAGGACAGAATATACTACAAACTGTCCATTTACCAATGGATGTAAATTGGGGGATTTTCCAAGATTTTAAATATGACAAATAAACTGCTATCAACATTTTATGTCTAAATTTTTTACGAGAATGTTTTTATTTTTTTTTTGAGTAACTAGAAGATGGAACCCAAGGCTTTTGCACTGTTGCATCCCAGCCCACTTTAAAATGTTTTTTGAACAGGGTCTTGCTAAGTTGCCCTGGCAGATTCGAATTTGTGATCTTTCTGCTTCAGCTTTGTAGAGTGCTAGGTTACAGCTGTGCACCATCTGGCCTGGCTACTTTTTTAGAAAATCTTTAAGATGGGGGAGTGGTTTAGCAGGCTTTGATTGAACAGAGTGCACTGAGCCACACTCCTTGCTGCCTCCTGGTCCCCATTAAAGTGTCTTCCTATATATATAGCCTAGGATTACCTTGAATTTGCAAAGATCCCGCCACAGCTTCGAGAGTTGCTGGGTCACAGGTGTGCAACCACCATGCTAATGGTTTGCATTAAGAATGTAATATCTGGTATAATTGTCAGTACAGGTATTCTTGTCTACCTGTCCACCAACCGAACTGGGATGAAACCTAGGCCCTTCCCAAGGTGCTACACGCACTCACCAATCCTTTACATACTTATAGGTGTTGGGGACTGAATCTAGAGCCTTTACACCAAGGTACAGCTTCAGCCCTGTTTATGTGCAGTACTGGGGATTTGTACCAAGCTGTCTCTCCAGCCTTTATTTTTTGAGACAGGGAGTCACTAGCTAACTTGCCCAGGATTGGGTTCAAACTTGTGATGCCTCTGCTTCTGCCTGCACCCCATCACCCCACCCCCTGCTGGAATTACTGGTCTGTGCCACCTGTACCTGGCCTTTGTTTATTTCTTGGGATTTTGAGAACGTTTTTGTTGCTGGAAATCAAACTTGGGGCCTTGAATGTGCTAAGCAGTTTTTTCCTTCACTGAGCAACCTCCTCAGCGCTGGGATACTCAGAAATAACTTGAGGCTGAGTGTAGCAGCAAACATCTGTACCTCCAGGACACATTACTGAGGCAAGGTCAGCCTGGACAACTTAGCTCAAACAACTGATCTCCACAGCGTGCTGCTGCCAGTGTTCTTTAGATACTGTTTTCCATTTTTATAGCCGTATCTACAAAATGACCCGACACTCAATACTCAGTATAAAAAGATGGTTAGATGGCTTGGCTTTTCTGTATGCTAAAAGTGTGGTACAGAAATACATTTGCCTAGGAAGGAAATCAGCAGTAAGCTACCAGCATCCTATACTCCTGCTCACTGGAAGATTAAATACCTTAGTCCTAGGAAAGCTCTTGGAATAGCCCACATTCGCTACTTCCTGCCCTACACCAGCTGTCACCCCTCCCCCACCCCTGTAAATAACAGATCTGGTTTAAAATACCCTTGCAGTGCAAGCCTCCCATCCCACATTTGTCATTTCCTTCGTGGGCCCAGGCTCCAATGGGTAGATGGTTTTTGTATTAGCACCATGACTAGTAATTCATACTCTTACAAGTGTTTCTAACACATCTTGTATTTTACAGCCAGACAATTGCAGACCTCAATGACCTGTTAAATAGCATCATTTTTCTGCCTCCCTATATGCAAGTTTTTCCCCCCTTTGGCACTGGGGATCAAACTCATGACTTTGTACTTGTCAGGCAGGCACTGGTGCTGCTAAATTCCCAGCCCCTGCAATTCTTAGTCTCTCATGTTTTGAACACATCTTCTCTAGGGATTGTTTACCAGGCCACCAGCATCAAACCTGTAAATTTACAGAACTGGATTGCATTTATCTGACTTATTTTGCAGACTTTGGAGTTCTCAATATCCCCACTAAAATAAATGCTAAAGGTGGCCAGGTATGGTGGCACAGGCCTGTAATACCAGCACTTTGGAAGCTGGGACAGGAAGGTCTCTTCAAGTTCAGGATGAGCCCAGGATACAAAGTGAGTTCAAGTTCAGCCTGAACTGCATTGTGAAACTTCGTCTCAAAAAACGCGGCTACAGGTATCTAGACATGAAGACTAATGGCTATAAGGAGGACAAGCACTGAGGTAGGAGGATCACTGTGAGTCTAAAGCCAGCCTGAACACAGCAAGACCCTGTCTCAAAACAAAGAAGCCTGAAAGCTAAAGGTGAGCTAAAGCTACCAGAACCAGACATGCTACAAAAGGTAAGGCTTTGGGAAACATGGAAGAACCTAAGGGCTTGGGTTACCTGATAGCCAAGTCACCCAGGCTGGGTTTGGACTTGGAACCCTCCAGCCCAGCTCCCAGGGTACTGGGATTATCCACTCAGTCTCCAAACATGGCCTCCTTAAAGAATTTTTCCAATTAGGACTTCAACCAGGGGGCTTCCCTCGTATGCACAAGACCCTGGGCTCAATCTTCAACACCACAAAATCCTCTCCCCAAACATGATGTATACCTAGCATAGCAGTATGACCAAGCTTATTAATGTTCTATTTTAAACCAGGCATAATGTCTCATGCCTATAATCTCAGCACTCAGGAGGCTGAGGCAGGAGGATTGCTCTGAGTTTAAGGCTAGCCTGAACTGCATGAGACCCTGTTTCAAAAAAAAGTTCTAGTTTAATAAAAATAAGCATATATGAAGTCTCCCACTCCATGTCTAGGAGCTCACTGATAAAGCCTAGAATTTTCCACCCTCCAACCTTTGACTTCTCTATAAAATTTGCTTAAGTAGACATTAAAGGGTTCAATAGAAAACTTCCTGAATTTCACTAGAAATTAAGCAAATGTTTATTGAAGCTTAAAGTGTGGTACAGAAATACATTTCAGGTGATTTAACCCAACACCAATGAAGAGAAATTATGGCACCAAAATTTACCCCCCTCTGCCATACTAAGATTACTATTTAATCTACAGCTTTCACTTTTCTAGGCTTTGTTTCACACAAATTTGTGCAAGTTTAACATTAGAATTCTTAAGTATTTTGGGAGAAAAAAAAAAGGAATCAGACCTCAAGCCAACAAATTTCACCAAAGCTACTGGGAAACTGTTCAAGAACAAAATTGACCTTGAGCATTGGTCCTCACAACAGAGCAAGTCAAAACATTAGGTGCTGTGCTCACTACAGAATCAAACTGATCAAGTTGATTGAAAGCTTCTTTAATGAAACACTCAATCAACAGTGTTAAAATTAAAGTGAAAGTGTTCCAACCACTTGATTTCAAACCAAGTGGATTTTATGTTTAGAAACACTAAAAAAAGGTGTTTCGTTTGTAAATACGGAAGGAACAAAACATCACTGCATCAATCCAGAAATTTAAGAAAATATTGTTGAAAACAAGATTTAGCCAACTCTGCTATTCTCAGTGGCTTAAATTACAGTATTTGCAAATATAGCTGAAAGATACCAACTCTTGAAAGCTTCCATTTCCACTCACTCCTCACTGGGTATTTTTGGAATTTTGTTAAGCTTTTTTTAATCCATCCATTCTGCGGCACAGTTCAATCTGAGTAACCTGGACAGTTATTCATTTGGCAGTGAATGCCATGGTGAAAGGAGACCACACAATAAAAGGTTAGGTCAGAACACACATGTATCACAAAACCACACAGCTTTGCCACAAATGGAGAAGCCACCAAAATTCTGCTGTGGACCCAAGTTTACACCATGCTATGCGGTGAGATTAGTGGCAATGGCTACTACAGTAAGAGTGATGCTCCAACCTGGCTGGAGCTGCTGCACACCCAGGACAATCTTCACGCTAATTTGCTTGGTGACAAAAATCCACTTATACCACTACTTAGCAAGTAAAAAGGAGGGTACTCTATGAGAATTTAATTTCATTGGCTGAAAAGCACAGGACAGTACATGGTTTCCACAGCTCAGCCAGCGCACTATAATCTCAATCTAGGACTCTATGGATCTGGTCTCTTCCTTGCTTGCTAACTAACAGTGGCTATGTTTCTTTTGGAGGAAACATTTAATTTTCTCCCTCATCTTTTAAGAATTCAAAAGGAGGCCAAATTCTCATCCTCTTAAAAAAAAATTAGACCCAGGGAGCATCACCCCACTCGCTGCATCCCCATCTGGGGTGTAAGATTAATATATAAACCCACAGAGCAACAGTGTATTGCTTTTATTTGGGGGCATGGAGACAGGAGAAAGACACCACAGTGAGGGAAGAAATCAAGGACTACAAATGCAGGAACGATTATTAAAACAGTAATACACAAAGTGAGTAACTGGAATCATTTTCTTAAGAGGACTTTACTCATGGAAGAAAAACTTTAATCGCTGTTGCAAAAACATTTTTGTAAAGTAGAAACTGGTTTCAATATTAGTAGTAGAGAATATGTTCTAGAAAGTGGAGGTAACTGGGTGTAAAATTCCGGCAGCAGTTAAATAGAACAGTCCCAGATAGTAGGCTGAGGCCGACACCTAATGAGGACGAAAGCCTTGTCTGTGGGGAATTTTGGACGATACCTGCAGAAATATTACACTGTGCATAAACCAAATTGAATTACTGTCACAAGTGTTGTAAAGTTTCATATAGTAAAAGTTTTTTTCTACATGCACTTCAATTTCACAGCAAGAGTGGCATAGAATACCTAAACACAGAAGAGAGCATTCATGCAAGATATCTAACTCCTTGATATAATAATGCATACACTTCAAAATGATTACACTATCATTACATCTAGGGCTTTCAGCAACTACACGGTGGCGGTTATGGAAAGCAAGGCCCCTGGTATCAACATCTAGAAAGCGGCCACCACCTTCTATGTGTGTTCTCTTTTTGCGTTTTTTCTTCATTTTTCTTAATCAACTCTGCTGTTGTTGCTGCTTCTTAGCAAAACTGGTAAACACAAAATTGTAATCATTGAACATAGCACTCTGGCAATCAAGACGTTTAAAACCTTCAATCTTCTGGGGTGAAGAAAGCACTGTGCGACATTTAGAACTCTAGGAAAAAAATTAAAATAACCATTAGTGCTCCAATCTACAAAGTATTTTTCCACACAAAATAGTTATGCAATAGGCCTTCAATCTTAATAAAACTGAGGTATTGTAGTTATTTAGACCCCTTTTAATGGGTTCGGTGCTATGGGGCTTATGGTCCCCCCTCCTTTAGGCCACCAGCAGGAAAATACCAGGATTAGGTATCAGATGGACGAGATCTAACACCAGGAATAACTGCATTTGGTAGCACACATCTATAATCCTAGCTAATTGGGAGACTGAGGCAAGAAGATCACAAGTTTTAAGACTAGCTTAGCAAGATCCTAACATATAAGGTTTCCCCATCTACCCTCTAGGTATCTCAGTGACAAGTATGTGTGTCATTATAAATATATTTTGTGACAGGCCTATTTGCATTTATTTCTCTTTAGACTTCATTGCTGCTAATAAATCACATTACCTGATTGACAAACAAGGTGGTCACAAATTTTCCTGGCTTGAAGACTTCCACAACTTTCCTGATCAGGTCATCATAGGAGGTCTGACTTAGGTTTGTTTCAAAGCTAACATAAGAAAACTCTGGTTCTGGAGTGATGTGAATAGTCCAATAAGTTCCCTTGGAGAAACAGCTTTGGGTTAGTCACGGAAAGGGCACATGTAAGTATTAACTTAAGTACCAAAGCGAGACATAACTACTTACATCCGATTTCATTCCATTCATTGAATACCCACAAGGATTGAACAGTGTGGCATCAATGACAGAACCTGGTATCAGGTCACGAATTCCACTCTCCTGCAGAAAGAGAAGAATGAAATAAATCTAAAAAATAAACAGAGTGAAATAAAAAAAAACATAGCACTGATGCAGAAGGGATCTAGAAACACTGATGTTTTACTGAAACCACCTACACGAGTGACATCCTTTGCAGTAACACCATCTTTCATGTAGAACTGGTCCATGACTCCTGGGTCAAGCTCACTCATCAGAATTTCCAGGGTCTGATCCGGCTGGCTGATTACTCGACTCTCTGGGAAATCCAAAGTATACAAGTACCTACATATAAGCAAAAAAATTTGTAAAAATGATAACCCAAGTCTAAAATGAATCTTTATGGACAATAAAGTATTCATGAAATTACAAACATACCAACAGTCAGAATTCAAACGTCCCATACAATACGCTGCTCCATCTGTTGAGGGAAGAGAAACGTAAAAAACAAGTAGTTTTAATTTTTTTTTGAGACAAGGTGTCACTTCATAGCCCAGGCTGGCCTAGCACTCACAGCAGTCCTCCTGCCTCAGCTCCCAGTGCTCGGAGGTGTGTCACCATGCCCAACTACAAGTCACTTTACGTGTTTCTCACTCATTCTTTCAAGGACTCGCGCCACAGCAGTAACACTTGGAAGCTGTTAGCACTAAATACCCAGCATTTTGGCACAGCCTAGTAAGGTTTTGTATTAGATGTAGGAAGTTCCTAGGGGCACTGCAGTTTTCCTGGATTCGTGAAGCCACAGGCATATTTCTGGAAGAGATTTTACTCTTCTGATTGTCACAGGCTACTTTGATCTGCATGGTAGTTAAGAAATACTGGCTAGATAAAGATGAACTGTCCCTGTGCTGTATGCAGACAGGAAGCCAGGTGCAGGGATTCGATCGCCAAACTTTCACTTTGGACCAGAGTGATTCTCGCATCTCAGTTTACTGAGTAGAGGGATAACAGGCGCACAGCACAGTGTGCTCAGCCTCCAGGGATTTCCTATGCTGTCCCTTCAGCAGCAACACTTGAGATTCACAATTACTTTCTAAAACCTGTAACAAGTTCTCTATTCACTCATTAAAGATCACTGTATGACACTGGTAAAACAACAGGCAAGTTAAAAGTACTGAAAAATGTATGTCCAATGTCACATCTATATATACACAAAATCTCCGAGAGGTTACGTTACATCCTCTCACTCTGAAAACAAGTGGGTTTACATGCTATGTAGACTTACTTGGGAAAATTGCATTAAGAAACTCTATTTCTTCCTGGAAATTCCGGTGTGGGTAACCTTGGTGAGACGGCTTCATGAAATTCTTACGAGAATAAAAGAAGCTCTTTAAAATAAAAAGACATATGGGATAACTTTAAGAATCTTTCTAAATTTATTATCCACTTTCCATCAAAAGTCGACAAGTATTTTCCACTTCATAAGCATATAAATTAACTGAGTGGTACTAGCATAGTATAATCTTACTGTCTCAAAAATAAAGACCAGAATTAAAAGAAAAAAAGTATAATCTTACGTTAATGCACTTACAATATTACTTAAAATTCTAAAACAGGAAATAAATGCCCAATCTGCTGATAATAGGTCATTAACAACCACAGAGACAAAGTTCATTTCTTTCTACAACAGTGGTTTGGTTTCTAACCTGTGCTTTTTAATAGTTAAACAAACATTTTGCAGAAAACATGTTTATCTAATTTTTAAGAGCCAGTGACCCATTTTAAGCAGATTGCTCTAGATTTTTTACAGGGATCCAGAGATAACAACAAAAACTCTGTTGGCTCAGTAGTAGAACACTTGTCTAGTAGGAGAAAGGCTCTGGGTTTTAATCCCTAGCACTAGGGGAAAACGAAACAAAAACCATGGTTCCTAATGATAACCTTAAGAGACAAAATACTAAATTCCAACAACCAGAGGTTAAAAGAAAAGAGGGCCGGAAGGGCTCAGTAGATTGTTTTAAAAAATTAGAGAACACACACTTATAATCCAGCACTCTTGGAGGCTGAAAAAGATTAAAATATTGAACCTAGCCTGGGCAATTTAGTGAGACCCTGTCTCAAAAAATAAACAAACAGCCAGGCATAGTAGCATATGCCTGTAATCCCAGCACTTAGGAGGCTGAGTCAGAAAGATTACCCATGAGTTTGGAGGCCAACCTGAATGAGTTCAAGGCCTGCCTAAGAAGACTGTCTCAAAAAACAAAAAAAAAATTTTTTTTTAAAGAAACAAAGTTAATTGTACCCTAACTAGAAATTCTGTAGTCTTGAAAATAGAATTTAACTTAATAGTGACTGGCCCTTAAATAACCCTTCACGGTAAAGACTGGGTAATGTTACCAGTGAAATCATTCTTTTAGGGGATGGGGGGTGGTACTAGGGGTCACACTTAGAGGTTCCAAAATCCAAAGTGCTCAAACACTGAGCTACATGCCCAGTCATTTCTCTATATGTACATTAATCATCAACAACTATGAAAGAAGGGTCTTCTTCCTTTTTTCCCATTTAAATTTCATCCTAACTTATTCTGTATCCTCCATGTTTTCTGTAGTTCTTGGACAAAGGCTAATTGTGGTTTTCTTTAGCTTGTCAAAGAGATCATTTTGCCACTTATTCTCATGTACTGTAATGAAGTCGTGAGCTATACACACTTATTTACTAGGCATATCACAGGATAAGCATCCTAATATTTATATCCCAAGTAATGGTTAAGTAACATCTCTGATTACTTACTTGAATCGAGTCAAACCCACTGTAATCCCTAGCAAGCTTCAACAGGGGAACCAGTGCTTTCAGTAAGAGGGTGGTACCACATGTCTTCAAAATGAAACGTCTCTTGGAGACAAACATGCTACTCTCACTGCAAGTGAAAAGAGTTCTAAGATTATTACATATGTCCTGAGGACACAGTTAATTTATTAGACCTTCATTTACAATTTTTTGCTGTTAGTTTTATATGTTATTACGCTAAGGAAGTAATCAATGTAGTATTCTTTTCCTTTATCATTCAAAAATCAATATAAAATTCCAGAGTATTGAGTTGGGTATAAAGCGTATCTTACTACACAGAACTTTAGTCCTGCACTTACCAGTATCCTAGACACTGGTATCCAAGAATGACCAGATCTGTATCTTTTTGGGATAGGATACCCTCATATACATGGACATAAAAGCCTCCAGATGGTACCTGAATACAATAATCTAACAAAGTGTTCCCAGTAGACATCTAACATTATTTACTTACTATATACTTTGCATCACTTTACACTACTACCTACTCTTCTTACCTACTGTCTCTGGAACCATCCCTTATTTCTTTCACTAGATAGTAATAAGCTCCATGAGGAAAGGCATGCTTGTTCTCACCACTATCAACCCAAGGGTACAGCAGATGTTAACTATTTTTAATAAACATTTGTTTATTCCAAATGCAAATAGTATATAGAGAGCTTATGCATCTTAATGCAAGGCCACGCACATATAAATTAAGCATTAAAGTGTTAAATAATTTAATTGCACCTATAAAAAGGCTGACTGGCCTTTGTATGCCAACAAAACAACTTAAGACTGAGAGGAACAATGTGATATTCACACAGTTTGAGATTAGGACTGAAATCAGCTACCCAACACTTGTTTTAGATGACTTACCTGAGTACATAAGCTTCCTGCTTGTCAGTTTTTGTCACACTTATGATTGAACATTGCACATCCTTCAAAAGTACATCCCACTCAGATCTAGTATTTAACAAAAACATAATTAATAACAATAGTTATTTATTGTCGTAAAAATCAGAAAGCTCTAGCACTTTAGAATTTTCCAATTAAAAACTCTATTTTCTCGTCATTGTTTTTCTCCTTATCAGTCTTCACATTGCTTCTACTTTTCTTATATTTTTGTTTATTTCAGTAACTTTTACTAACATACAGAGAAAAGATATTTTGCTATGTGAAGGACCTCGGCTTGCTACTCAGCACTAGAAAAAGCCAACAGTTTTTAAAGGCATTAATTTCACCAATCAGATTGGTGAAAACCTGTCTGACAGATTTGACTGAACATGGTAGCTCATGACTATAATCTCAACACTTGGGAGATTGAGGCAGGAGGACCACTGTGAGCTGGCCTGGGCTGCAAAGTGAATTCAAGGCCAGCAAGACTTGGGTGGTGAAACCCTGTCTCCAAAAAAGCACTAAAACAAAAACAAACAAATGAGCTATCAAATTGCAGCTCATCACCCAAGTCCAGTGCATTCACAAAAAAGCTGTCAGCACACCAGTAAGATCTGGGAATACACAGCAACCCAGCAACCCATTCATACAGGAACATACGCACACACACTTTTACTGGGCCATGTATTTTGCTTTTTCAAATAAAATGTTCTAAACTCTTTAAAACACGCCCCCCCCCCCCCAATGTGATTCCAGCTACTCAGGAGGATGAGGTAGGAGACCTCACTTGATTCCAGGAGTTCCAGACTGGCCCAAGTAACACACTGAGGCCTGGTTTCTGAAGTCCAACACATGTAATTTGTTGTCTTGGTGAGAAAAAGAGTTGCAACTGAGTCACTTAGCAGTAATACAAAGGAAATCTCTGAAGACAAACAGAACCTTTGAGTTTCACATTTCTAAGTAAAAGCTGTATTTTAAGACTCAAAATATCTTAACTCCATAAACAATACACTTGAAGCAAAAAGGAATAACCAGATCTAAAGAAGAGACCCTTGTTCCTGCTTTGTGAAAATCCTTGAGAAGTTCCTCCTGCCAGGCGTGGTGGCACACCCCTGTAAATTGCAGCACTCAGGATGCTGAGGCAGAGACTGCTGCACTTCAGGCCAGTGACAGCTGCACAGGGTTATTCCTGGCTTGGTTTCCTTACCTCGCCTTACCTGGTGAGGAAGAAGGTCTACTTTACTCAATGGCTAGGATCGGACTACCTAATGCACACAAGAATTACCTACTGGACCAGTCAGGACACCAGTGCTGCTAGGTACGGAGACACATTTGTGAGCCTGGCACGGTGGCTGACTGGGGCAGGAAGATCCACAGTTTGAGCTCAAGCAACGTGCAGACTTAGACCTCATCCCAAAAGAAAGAATAAAAACAAAAAACACAGAAAATAAGAGGTTGAGGCAGAAAGACGTATGAAACTTGAGCTGAGTTCTCTTTAGAGCTTATCCATTTCAGACCTGTCTCTAATGCCACCTCTAATGTCTCTAATGCTGCACACACATCCTCTTCTACTCACCAGACACACTAGCAAATCCTTTCCTGCCATTCTCTCTTGAGTAATAGTAGCTTCACAATCTATGTTTCCAGATACTCGCCAACAAATGTCCAGGCTCGATGATCCAGGACACTGAGGAATCTTTGGATCAGGTCAGCAGGCTCCTCAGTGTTACCCCACGATGACTGCCTACATCCTTCACCCACACTTCATCTCAGCACACAGGCATGGCAGCATCCCACACCACCCCAAGAAAGAGTACAGCACAGCAAGATATGTTAAAAGATCCTTTGCATTATGATTCACCTATCTTATTAGTTATTAACTTGTTACTGTGACTAACATAAATAAACTATCATAGATATGCGGGTAGAGGAAAAAAGTAGTATGGTCAATCCTCTGTGGGTCCTGCAAGCATTCGATCAGCCTTGGACTGAAAACATTTGGAAAAAAGCCACGGCATCTGTACCGAGCATGTACTTTTCCTGCCACTGTTACCTGAACAATGCAGGGCAATTATTCACATAGCATTTCCATTGCGTCAGGTAGGATGAACCACTAAAGCAGATTTAAAGTACAGGAGGAACCGGACGTTGTGGTGGTCCCCTGTCCCAGCTCGTGGAGGGCTGAGACATGATTAACCTAGGAATTTAAGCATTCCCAAGACCCAAGGAGACTTTTTCGGTTAAGACAGTCATATCATGCGGTCTGGACCAGCTTAGCCAGGAAGGAATGCTACTGAAGCATCATCCACCAACTATCTGTAAAGGGCATCCATCTATTTCTTTGGAGTTACTTATCATGACCTTTGATATTATGGATATTTCAGTACCTACCATTAAAGTTCAATTAGTGTCTCTCAATCTTAGTATCTTCAGCATTTGAGTCCAGGCACCGTTGGAATGACTGTCCTGTATGTTGTGTAGCAGTACCCTGACATGTCAGCAGCAGCACTACTCCTGCCCCAGGTATGACAACCAAAAGTGTCTCCAACTGTCTCTGGGGTTACAAAATCATCCCAACTGAGAAACGCTGACTTAACACGTTCCTGGCCAATGGCAGTAAATGCATGACTGCGCCCCTTCAGGTGGCCTCCGATGGTTCAGAGCCTCCCAGTTTCAAGGAAAAACTTATAGCCCAGCTGTGTAAGTCAATGAGGTCAATGAAGAAACAGCACTTAAAAACAGAAAGAGTGGTGGTGGTACATGCTTCCAGTTTCGCAGGTAGGAAACTGCAAGAGGAACATCACAAATTCAAGGCTGGCCCAGGATCCACAGTGAGGCTGAGTTTCAGTAAATAGTTCAGAAAATGTGAACAAAAGCAACTGAAACCAGGATTTTTTCCTTTGGAGACAGGGTCTAAGTAGTTCAGGCTAACCTTGAACTTGCAGTGATCTTCCTGCCTCAGTTTCCTGAATGCTAGGATTACAGGTATGTGCCACCATGCCTAGCAAACCAGGAAATATTTTACCTACATATTTATGTTTTACAAGTTTCCAAGAATTGCGTTCTTGAGTAGTAAAGTTTCCCATCATGCGCCAGACATGGTGGAGCACACCTATGGTCTCATCACTAGGGAGAAGCCTAGGCAGGAGGACTGGAATTATCCTGAATACATTCCCAATTTATGGGCTTTTAGCTGGTGCTTTCTTGCACTCTGTTTGCAATGTATAACGCAAGAACTACCGAACAGAACAGTTTTGTAAAAACAGCTCCTAATACTGACTAGTGATCATCTCAGTGAAACATGTTTGGCAACAGAGGAGATACTTCCCACTGTCATTATGGACACTGAGGCAAGAGGATCACAATGTTTGGACAGCCTGAACTGCATAGCAAGACCCTGTCTCAAAAAACCAAAACCAAACCTAAATAAAAAAACCATTACAAACACTGGAATGACATTCTAATCACAGACAATTTAGACAATGCCACCACTGCAGACTATATAAAGCACTTTTATCTTTCTTGTTACTGGGCGGGCTGAGGCAGATTATAGGCCAGCCCAATGCAAGCAGACCTAGTCTTAAACAAAAACTGGGCAGAACGCACAGAGCAGCTATGTGAACACTGACCAGCAATGGTAAATCTTCAGAGTGTTCAATGATACAGCTACCTGTGGCACACATATCACAGGCTTGCCACTGCGGAGTTAGGAGTTAGGTGAATTAGAGAAGCCAACCAAAATGGAGTTAGGCGAATTAGAAAAGCCAACCAAAATGCCGCTGAATAAAATTCCTGCAAAAACCAAAACAAAACCACAAAAGCCTGTGAAGCAGCAGCAGGGAGTTTTTCTTTCTTTTTTTCAAAATCTTCTTCCCTTTATTTCTCTCAAGTACTTCTGGACTGGTTTCAGACAGCCGACAAGCCTGAAATACGTATCAGGTGCAAACAAAAAGAGCTCCAAGACAAGCTATTTCTGGTCTGCAAATAAGAGGGCCCGACTGCCCAGAAGAGCAGGGATCCCCTTTTCTATTCTATCCTGCCTTTCACCACCCATGGAGACCTCTAGCAGCTGTGCTGGCCAAGTCCCTATAGCTATAAAGCAAAGAGCACTTTTTAGATTTTAAAAAATTTAGGCTACTTGTTATTTTTTAGTCACTCTGTGAATAAAATGTAATGAGTCATTACTGCTAGACAAAAGTATGCGGCTTGCTCTTGTCCACTGGAGTAGAAACAGTTCCTATCTGCATGAAAGGAGTCTAGCGAGATCTAGTACTGAAACAGTGCAGTCTGGACATTTATACAGGTGATTTCCAAGCTAAAGAGGGGGACTAGGGACATCCAGGTAGGATGATACCACTCCAGTACTCAAAAGACAGTCCCGGTTTACATATGCTGTATCTCACATATTTACAAAGTTCTCATTCATTCTCAAGTGTGTGTGCGGAGAGGCAGGTAAAGTGCATGACTAGCACCTTATTTCTTTTATTTTTATGTCTTTCTGAGACAGGGATCACTATGCAGTTCAGGCTGGCCTTGAGTTTGCAGTGATTCTCCTGTCTCAGCCTCCCAAGTGCTAGGATTACAGGTGTGTACCACAGAGCCTGGCTTTGTGCTCTATTGCTAGGCGAGAATTGCTAGGAGACTGGGGCACAGAGAATGGAAACAGACTTTACGTGCATGGTAAAACATGGGCTTCAAGATGATACAACCCCAACCCTGTCAATGTATGTTTTAATTCAGTTTGTTTCTGACCATTCTCTTTAATAAAAAAAAAAACCCTGTCAAACTGAAGGGGGTTGCAGGAGATCTGGCAAGTTAATTCTCTACAGAGACTAAAACAGGTCTTTAAAAAATGAGGGAACAACAGGAGCTGCTGAGACAGTTTAGTACCAATACACTAACAAAGGATGAAAGTTCCATGCAATCATTCTTCAGTATCTGTGGGGGACGCCTACCTCCCCCACAGATCCTAAAATCAGAGTATGCTCAAGTCTATTATATAAAATGGCATAGTATTTGTATGTAACCCAGGCAAAGCTTCCCAGGTACTTCTGCAGCTTTTCTTTGAA